GAGGTCAGTCTGGAGCTCCATGGCCAGGACATGGCCAGGACAGGAGGGAGCAGCCTTGGGCTGTGCCAGGGAGGTTCAGGGTGGTGCTGGGGACAATTCCTCCATGGAAAGGTTCCCAAGCACGGGATGGGCTGCCCGAGGCAGGGCTGGAATTCCCATTCCTGCAGGGATGGCAAAGCCCTGTGGATGTGGCACCTGGGCACGTGGCTGGGAGGCCTCAGGTTTGGCTTTTCTATTTTCACATTCTGAGCTGCTTTAGTGTGTGGGTCTGGGCTTCACATTATGGGATGGTGAGCTCTGTGCACAGAGCAGGGAGACAAAACAATTCCTGCTCCAGCTGGGCACCAAGGACAAATGATCCAAATCTCAGCCCAGGAGCACAAACACCGTGGGCTGGAGAGAGAAAAACAAGCAGGGTGGGACTGCCTGGGCTAAAGCTGGAATGGGACAATGAACTCCAAGGTGCCAATGGAGCAGAACTGATCCCAGGGAGAGCCCCCGGGAGCGCTCGTGCATTTTGGGGCCATTTTGGTTCATCTTGGGTGCAGCCCTGGCTGGGCTCTGGTGGATCCATGGAGGAGATCCTTTTCATAAATCCCGAATTTATTCTTTAGCTCTGCCCAGCCTCTGCTCCAGCTCAGCCTTCACAGGGCATCAGCTGAACTGCACAGATGTTCCCCTGCTCACCTTGGTGCCCAAGCTGGCCAGGATTTGATGCCATTAATTCCCTTAAAACCAGACAGGGACTCAGGTTCTTGCGGCAGAGCCCTGAAATTCATCTCCAAGTGCTCTCCCAGGACTCCTGGCCAAGTGTGACACAGCAAACACGATTTAAATGCAGCTTTTCTGGCAGATCACTCCCACTGCCCAGCATCAGGCCCAGATGTGAGGCACAAAATGATCCCATTTCCCTGCTCCCTCCATCAAATGCCATTCCTTTGGATAAGGAAGGGTATGAGGATGGTGGAGCATCCTTGAGCGAGGTTTCTCAAGGCTCAGTGTCTGCTATCCCCAGATCTGCAGTAGCACAACGGGAGTGTGTGGGCAGAGAGGAGGCTTCAGCTCCTTCTTCCCCAGTTTCCTTATGGTTTCAGCAATGTTTGGGTTGCTAAATGACACAAATTTTGGAAAACACAGGAAAGCATTAGACACAAAACCCCCTAAAAAAGGAACATATTAGTTGTCAGCGTCTTCTCAGCAGACAGCCCAGCAGAGAGCCTGCTAAAGATTTATGTCCCAAAGAAAATATGTGTGATTTTCCCTCTCTTCTGTGGGAGGGAGAAAAATACAGACCCCAAAAAATTGAGAATCATCAACTAAAAATTCACCACTAAGAAAGGAGAGAAGATCTCTTCCTTGGAGGCAAACAGCTCCAGCCTGAGCTGTTAACTGGTCATGTCACCAACACCATTCCCTTTGTCCTGTCCCTGCAGGCCTTGTCCCCAGTCCCTCTGCAGCTCTCCTGGAGCCCCTTAAGGCCCTGGAATGTGCTGGAAGCTCTCCCTGGATCCTTCCCTTCCGAGGTGAACATTCCCAGCTCTGCCAGGCTGGCTCCAGAGCAGAGAGACTCATTCCAACATTCCTGTATGATCCAGCACAGGAATCATCCCAGAAAACCTCAGAATTCCCTCACTATTTATCCTGACACGACCACTGACATCAGCACGTGGCTCCCAGTTCTCTCCAGCCAAAGCCCTGATCCTGCATTAATGAGGTTGTCCAGGAAGATTTTCCACCCACTCCTCCACTTAAAAGCTCAATTAACTCCGCACAAAATGCCAAACTTTTAAGTTAAAATTTAAACAAATTTCCCCCCATTGATGGAACAAAATGACCAAGGGCTATGCTGGCTGTGAGACAAGAAAATAATTTCAAACTGTTTTCCTGAACAAGGCTGCTCTAATATTTTGACAAACTGCTTTTTTTTGTTTTCTAGCACTGCCCTACCAACTGGAAAAGGTCATCTGTGTTCTTTGTTATTTCTCCACTCTCAAAGAAGGTCAAAAATATTTCTTATCTGCATGTTTTGTACCTCAACATGCTCAACGCTGAGCCACCTCACACTACACCAGTGTGCCTGGTGCAGTTATTAGGGAGGTTTCAGAAATCCAACTCCAAAAATGAGCTGCAGAAAACAACTCATCCCCCACAAACCCCAATTTGCAGCCCACCACGAGCTCCTGTTTTTTTGTGAAGACCTGGAGAGATAACCCTGCTGTAAGGAATTCCACATGCAGAGATGCACAAAGCACACGTACAGAACATTATCCCTGGGAACTGCACTCGTGTGAGATTATTCTGCTGTGCTGACTAAATTCCATTGTTTGAGGCTTGAAGGAATGGCATCACTTCCCTGAGCCACTTCCTCCAAGTTTTTAGCCTCCCCCAACAGCTTTAGACACTTTTAAAACTGAGTTTTCTGCTCCCTCTGCTACAAACCTAAGATCTCCTCTCCAAAAATTATCCTTACACAGAAAAGCGGGTTAGAGATAATTTAGGCTTTGGGATCAAAGGTTTTCTTACACTCTAAGGTAAAAATATTTTAAGCCACTCCAGTGGAACTAAGGTACAAACACTGACAAGATTTTGAACAAAGAAATGCAGCATCTCCTCCCTTTCATGCCAGTCAGTGCTCATCTCTTACCTTAAACCAGCAAGAGATCCTGGACCTTAAAGTGCAGCTTTTATGCATTGTAAAAGCTCTCCTGGAAGCTTTTCCGACTCCCTCTGACACCCAAGAATGATGAAACCTTTCCAAGTGGGATGTTTTTGTTTTTCTTGGCACGCTTTTTCCTTGGTCAGACACTGTCTGCCCAGCACAGAAAGAACTTTCACTCCTCAGTGCTCACACCTCCACAGGCTCTGAGTTCCAGCAATGCTGTTCAGGAACAGCCATAGAAATCACTCCAATTTTTGACTGAACCCATCCCAAACTCCCACAGAGGATGGGAATATCCAGCCTTGATGTTCTGTTACACTGGAGGAACAATCTTGGGAGTGTTCTTACTCCAGGGTTTTGTCTTTCTGGAGCAAAATCTGCAGAACTCAAAGCTCAAAGTTTTTCTGGGCCTCATGGATCACAGGAAGATGGCTGCAGATTCCTCATCAGAAACCCATTCCACATATCCTTAAATTTAATTCTTCTCTTTTATTCTTCCCTTATTTATTCCCACTTCAGCTGTGTGACATTTTCTGGTGTTCAGAAAACCCCTCATGAACCTCTGGCTGGACATTTCCAAGGAAATTTTTGCAAGAACAGTATTGAAGGGAGCTGCAAGTTTGTGGCATTGGGAAAAGTGATGGAGATTTCTTTGATAAGTATTCCTCTAGAAAGACAAATATGTGGGCAAGGAGTCAGTGAAGGGGATTGAAGGCCCACACCTTATATTTATCATGTCCAAGTGTTTAAAGTCATGGGGATATTTGGGTAAGGCAAAAAAAAAATGCATCACTGCACAGTAAAACAATCCTGCAGAGCAACAGCTACAAAGCAGCCCAAAACTGAAAAAGGGAGTTAGGGCAGGAGAAAGCATTTTCCATCACCAGCCCAGAACTGGAATGACCAACATAAATCCTTCCACCTCCTGTAAATAACGCCAGGCTCACTCCTTTGACCTCCTCTATCACATGGAAGGTGAAGTTCCACATCTGTGCACCATGTAGAAAGGTAATCTTCAAATAAATAAATTTTTAAAAAATACCAAACGTGTTTAGCATAACACAAAACATACAGCACAGCAAGAATGAGAGAACAGATATGACAGATGAGAGCTCTGCTGCCTGAGAGAGCCACAGATCCCTGGGTGAGAGGCACAGCACCTGAATAAAGCCTAAGCAAGGCACAGCTTTAGTCTCTTGCAGTTAAGAGGAAGAATCAAATAAGAATTTGCTGCAAACACGCCGGCAGCAAGTGTCTGAGCTGCCTAAACCCAGCCATAATGACAGCAGAAGACAAGCCATTAGAGCTGTGACACTTTATAAGACAGGCATGACATGGTAACACAGAACAAAAATGTCACTTTGAAAGCTGCTGATAAATCACTTGGTAGGCAAAAGGAATCAACCTTTCCAAACACCATAAGGATGAATCCTCAGGATTTTTTTTTTTTTTTGCTGATATTTAAGCTCTTTGGAGTTCTACAATCTGTTATAAATATGGCCACTTACCAAAAAGCCCCAAAGATAAATCCCAGCACAGCTGAGCGTTGAGCACGACAGGTATTCTCTGGCATGGTTCTAAAGGGGTTTTGTATTTGTGTATTTTATGGGGTGTCCTGGCTTGTAAGATCAGCATGGATTCTATTTGCCATTTGTTGGAGGTTGGGCAGTTTTCTTATCTCTTCCAAGAACAATGACTCCCTCTGAGGAGATATCTTCTGTTAATGGACTATTGAAAGACTCCCTGCATGACTGGTGAAGTTCCATCAGCCCATGGTGAGATGCTCCGCCCAGAGGGAGGAGCCAAGCAGCCCTACCTGCATAAAATCAGCACTTTTTGAGACACTGGCAGCCACTTCGCTGGATTCCCAGAGGAGCAGCTTCTTCTCTGCTGAATTCCCAGAGTCAGACCAGGCCCAATACTCCATCACCAGACCTTCAGAGAAAACTCCACCCTTCTAGAGATCACCTCTTCAGCAGCATTTCATCTGCCACTCCAGGAGGAGCAGCCACCATTTAACTGGACTATCACCAACACCCTGACTCCTCAGGGTGTCAGGTTTCTGACTCTATCACTAGATTCGTTTGTACTAATTACATTTTTTTTTAATTTAGTTTTTTTTCCTACTAAAGAACTGTTATTCCCATTCCCATATCTTTGCCTGAGAGCCTTTTAATTTTAAAATTGTAGTAATTCAGAGGGAGGGGGTTTACCTTTTCCATTTCCTTCCTTCACAGACTCCCGTCTTTTCAAACCGAGACATGGGGTTTTTTTTGTATTATTTTGCATTTGTTACAGCTATGCTCCAAGCTGAAAACTTGCCCACCTGAGGGATTCTTACCTGCAGGACATCCTGGATCTTCACCCACACGTCCACCATGTCGTAGAGCTTGATCTCTCCGTCGTGCTGGCTGCAGGGGGAGGCCACGGTCTGCTGCAGGTGGCCCAGCACCACCGAGTGCGCAGCGGCCACAGCGTTGAACTTGTCAAAGAGCAGCTCCAGCAGCTCCAGCAGCAACCTGGGAAACACATCAACAGCTCTGCTCAGCTTCTGGAATGTGGAAGCCCACCCGAGGTCGTGGGGTGGCTCCGTGTGGTGGAAAAGTCTCTCCTCCAACCCGTGCTTTCAAAAAAAAAAACCTCAGCAGTCTCTGTTGTTCAGTCTCAAGGCAGTTTATTGCAAGTTATCTAAAAGATTTTCTTCTCAGGCTGCTGTGGTTTGCTCACAGCTCAGGCAGAGGCACACACACACCCTGACATCCTCTCTGACTCCCGACTGCTCTTCTCTCCCCGCCCAGGGCTGCGCTGTCTTTTATATGGTACATTACGTGTTACATGGGTACAGTTTTTCCCCAATGCCTATTACCTATATTAAATGGTGCGTTTCTATCTTTTATATGGTACATTACGTGTTACATGGTACAGTTTGTCCCCAATGCCCATTACCTATATTAAATGATGCCTTCTACTCTAAACCAATCTGTGAGTGCCAACATCACCAAGAACATGGAGGTAAGGAAGGAGAAAGAGGGAGGACAGGGCAGGCCCAAATCCCTCCATCTTAAAACTTCTGATCCCCATGTACAAAACTAAACCCCCCCTGTACAGCACTCAAAAATTCTTCCCTCTACTTTGTGACTGCTTCTACTCTAGTATCTAAATGTTGTGACTTTTTGTTCTTCCTGCAAGGTTGGTAAATCATTCCATGTCTCAAACCCAAAATCACAGCTGTTTCCAGCTGCCTGCCAGGGTCTCAAATGCTTCTGACCTGGGCCCGGAACCTCCAAAATGTCTGAGGGACATTTTGAATTCCAACACGGGAACGTTCCCCAAGCTCACAGCAGGGCAGGTGGTTTCATGTCCTGTTTGTGACATGGGGAGGTCACCTCTCTGTGGGCTCAGGGGACTCATTTCAGCTCAGGTTTGCTGTATGAACATTCCTGAGGATTTTTCTCTTCATTCCCTTCCCTCCAGCAGCATTGTTCACTTTAAAAGTGTCCTGTTTTGGGCTACAGGGAAGACAAAACCCACTGATAACTCCACAGTAATTAAACTGGACTAACATAATATTAGAGCCCACTGTGAGACTCCAGGTAGGGAGGGAAACAATCTGCTTTTCCCCCAGAAAAAAAGCAATAAAAACTGACTTACCCACACAACCAGGATAAAAGGAATTCTCTTTGAGTTATTGAATGAATATGGCAGGTTTCAAATGAAAGGAAATATCAGAAAGCTAAACACTGACAGAACAAGAGGACACAGTCTCAAGCTATGTCAGGGAAGGTTTAGGTTGGATATTAGGAAAAAAAATTCACCAGAAGAATAATAAAATACTGGAATTGTCTTCCCAGAGAGGTGGTAGAATCACCATCTCTGGATATGTTTAAAAAAAGACTGGACATGGCACTTGGTGCTGTAGTCTTGTTGAGGTGTTAGGGCATGGGTTGGACTTGATGATCTTAGAGGTCTCTTCCAACCTCATTATTCTGTGATTCTGTGATATCAACCCTCATCACTTGTTATGATTTTACTCCTATATTTGTTGTAGCTATAGCATCATCTAAACGTACTGCACTGTACCTGCTCCTATCATTCCCTACTGCCCAATTATCACAATTAAAGCACCTTTGCAAAGTCCTGAGCAGTTTGTGACGAGGCAGCACCATCACACTTTTCACTGTTGGAGAACAGAAAAATCCCGCTGGAGTTCAGCGCCGTTGAATGAGCAACTCGAGTCCCCACATAACCCCACCAAAACGTGAAGATAACACTTCCCAAATCCATATGTTAGGCACTTGTAGCTCTGACAGACAGGCTCCATCACATTTCCTGCAGCAGCTTTGGAGCCACCACATGCTCCAAGTCTGCCCAGCAGGAGCTGAGATCCCCAGGGCAGGACATGGCAGGAGCTGCTCCCACTCCTTCTCCAGCACCTTCAGTGCTCGCAGGAGCAGGGAATGGGTTTGGGGACACCATCCCAGGCTGCTCCCAGCCCCAGTGTCCAGCCTTTCCTTGGACATTCCAGGGATCCAGGGGCAGCCCCAGCTGCTCTGGCAATCCCAGCCCAGCCAGGAATTCCTCATTCCCAAGATCCCATCCATGGCTGCCCTCTGGCAGTGGGAGCCATTCCCTGTGTCCTGTCCCTCCAGGCCTTGTCCCCAGTCCCTCTGCAGCTCTCCTGGAGCCCCTTCAGGCCCTGGAATGTGCTGGAAGCTCTCCCTGCATCCTTCTCCTCTCCAGGAGAACATTCCCAGCTCTTCCAGCCTGACATTGGATCCATCTCCTCTCCAAGAAATTCATGGACCCAGGGACTTCACTTGGAATCTCAGGAAACCATGAAGGGTCTCCGTTCCCTTTTCCTCTCTTTTCTATCCCCATTTTCCATAAAAATCCCTCAGGATGGATCCTGAGTGTCCCAAATCCCAGAATCCTGGACCAGTTTGGGTGGGAAGGGACCTCAAAGCTCATTCCAGGGACACCTGCCATGATCTCAGGGTGCTCCAGTCCTTCCTTGGACATTCCAGGGATCCAGGGGCAGCCCCAGCTGCTCTGGCAATTCCAGCCCAGACAGGAATTCCTCATTCCCAATCTCCCATCCATGGCTGCCCTCTGGCAGTGGGAGCCATTCCCTGTGTCTTGTCCCTCCAGGCTTTTTCCAAATTTCAGCTCTCCTGGAGTCCCTTCAGGCCCTGGAATGTGCTGGAAGCTCTCCCTGGAGCCTTGCACCCCCAGTTCTCCCAGCCTGGCTCCAGCCCTCTGAATCAATTTGTGACCTTCTCCACTCAAACGTCTCAATTTGACTTTTCTGCATTTTTATTTTTAATGATTATAAATCTATACCATGTTTTGAGGCTAAATATTACAGCAGGATTCTGGCCACTTCTCTTTGAAGTGCTAAGAGCTTCTATTGTAAGGGACAAAATACTCATTACAGAAATACTTGAGCTGTAGAAAACATTGAGCTTACTTTCTAACCTTTCTGGATATTGAAATCTTTACATGTTAGCTCTGATAAGAAATGCTGGCTTTCCAATAAAAACTGTTTTTTCTCAAAATCTTCAGAATTTCTAATTTTTGGGTTTTTTTAAAGCTGACATTTCCCTAATTTTTTTTTTTTTTTTTTGATGGTTAGCTTTGGCCCTGAGCCACAACATCTGTAACAAAAAAAAAATAAAAGAACCACAGAAATAAAGAGCCCCTGGAACCAAGATACCTATTCAAACAAAACCCGATAAATTGTGTATGGATGCCTTTTCTTGATGTTTCAGGATAGCATCAAATGCTGAAAAATGTGACACTATGGAACCAAATTAATTCTCTACCACCGAGAAAATGGAGGATTTCACATCCATCAGCCTGGAATGTGGGAGACACTGGAATTCCAAAGAAAAAAGGATATGATCAGTGCAGTATCACCTCAGTCATGGCTCCATAAACAAAGTTCAGGCTCACCTAGTGAGAATAAAGTGAACTTGTCCAACTCTCCAGGTAGTTCAGTTCTGCAAAACTGTTCTTTCCTGGGGCAGCAAGGAGGTGTGTGGATAACTGAGTTTGTCATGGGATGTTGGAAGAAGCTGGGCTGGCACTGAGAACATTTTCTCAGTGGTAGAGAATTAATTTGGTTCCATAGTGTCACATTTTTCAGCATTTGCTGCTATCCTGAAATATCAAGAAAATGGATCCATACACAATTTATTGGGTTTTGTTTGAATAGGTATCTTGGTTCCAGGGGCTCTTTATTTCTGTGGTTTTTGTTACAGATGTTGTGGCTCAGGGACAAAGCTAACCTTCAAAAAATAATTAGGGAAATGTCAGCTTTAAAAACAAAAATAGAAATTCTGAAGATTTTGAGAAAAAACAGTTTTTATTGGAAAGCCAGCATTACTTATCAGAGCTAACATGTAAAGATTTCAATATCCCACATCTCCCTGCTTTCAGCTTAGCCAGCACCTATTATCTTACCTCCTTTTCCCCTATAAATCTGTCAGGTCATTTTTGAAAGAAGGTGACCCAAAAGAGACAGAGGCAACAAGATAAAACCCATCAAATGGCATCAATACAAATTGCAAATTGCATCAAATAGTCTGGCCTGGATGGGGTTGGAGCAGGGAGTGCCCTGAGCTGAACAGGGACACTCAGTGACAGGAAAATTTGTCACAGACACCTCATAACCCCTGCAGCCAGAGAGAGGGAAATGTGTTGGGGACAGTGACACACACAGAAGAGACTTCCATGGTCCAGGAAATAATAGGAGTGAAGTGTGATGGCCAGAGAGGTGGCCTGGACATAATTCTTGGGTTTATTTCAAAGCCTGGAGATGAGGGTAAAAGTCAAAATATAATATGGATGTGTAGGGAAAAGCACATGGAATCCAAGCAAGAGGATTCAGGAGCAAAAGTGTCAATCTCCCATCTCTTCATACACTGGATTTTTAATGTTTCCTTACCAAAATGTCCCATAAATCTGTCCCTCAAGTAGGCATCCACCCACATTGTTATTGTGAAGTACAAACTCTTCCAAATCTCAGGAGAGTCCTACAGGTTTGTGCAGCAGCACCCCAAGGAAACTCAACACAGCCTCTTCTGGGACATTTTGTCCTCCACAACCCCAGATAAGGATTTCTAAATGTAAAAGTGTGACTAATGAGCCACTCATTAAGGATAAGGCAGTGGCAATTCCTATAGTTAAGCCTTTCTCCATAAACTGCTTTCAAGCACAGAGATCTAAAAATGTTAGAGAATTTCCTTAGGCTTTAAAATTGTCCACTTAAAGCTGAGCTCAGCTAAAACTTGGTGAGATTCAGGCAGAGTTTTCAAAGTTATCTTCCCTCAGGGACAAGGAGCCACTTGGAACCTGCTCCTGCCCTTCCTGAAGCTCTGAGGATCTGAGAGAACACTCAAAGAGTCATCACAAACCAGAAAAATATTGAGTTTAAAAATCTGGGAGTAATTAACAATATTTTTATACACCAATGTAAAAGATGGCAGCACAAAGCTACATGGAAAAGCTTATTAAGGAAGGAAGGAAGGGAAAGAGAGTTAAATTTAAAAAGTAGGAAGAATGAGATCAGCAGTGACTGCTATCAGATCTGCAGCTTTTCTGGCCAGGTTCTACAAATCATTTCTGTCTTGTGCAATGAGAGGGGCTCTAAATCATTGCTGCATGGGGCCTCAAAAGGAATTACACCAAAATTTCCCCAAGCAGATCATCAGCATCATACTCAGATACAGAATGGTTTGGGTTGGAAGGGACTTCAGGGATCATCCTTCAGCCTCATGAACAGTTCAGCTCTCCTGGCACTGCATTATGCTCAAATTTGGGGTCTTACTTATATACTTACTTGGGGTTTTTCTGCTCTGTAGAAGCAGCAGGGCCTTGTTCAGATTTATTTCTCCCCTGACAGTAGGAAAGTCTCTGAGCTTTGATTTAAAACCGAAGTTAATTTAAGGGGTGGGGACACCCTTCCATGTTGTAATTTATTCTTTTCAATATAAATGAATTCACCTGCTTGCTGTAAACTTCATGTGTGATTTAGCTTTAGAACCAGTTCTAATTATGTCTGTATTCCACAAGAATTCAGGACACTTTCCATGGCTCTAGAATATGAGCATCTTAAAGGCTCACACTCTGCGACAGATGCCAAAACCCATTAAACCTTTGTGTGCCTCACTCAACCCTCTGGGCAGGTTAATGGCATTGATATATGATCTGCTCCAATTTATCAATTCCAACAGACAACCAGGAGCCACACAAGCTCTCCAGACTGGTTCATAAAACAAGTATCAAGAATATGTTACACTCCTGGCATCAGAAACTAAAACTCTGCCTTCTGACCCATCCAAATAAAGCTCATTTTCACTGAGTTATCACCAGTGTATCTCTACAAAGTCTTCAAAACAGAATTGTTTCCAAAGCAGTGCTAATGAGAGGAATTAAAATGGAGTTCTTATCAAGCTGATTGTTTTCCTTGGGAGTGATTTCCCACTACAAATATTGCACATAATGAAGATACACACTTTAATTTTCTGCCATTAATTCCCTCTGGACAATGATACGACAATATGGAGATGAATATTTCAGCTGGAAGAGATTCCTGCTGGAATCCTTTCCTTCCAAAGGCCAGGTCCAGTGAATTCTGAGGAGCAGCACAAACACAGTGCTCAGTTGGCTTCCACACCTTGCTATTAATGTAAATGGGGCTGCAAAACAATTAGAGACTTGGCCATACATTTGTGATAGAATTAGTTCCATACATGATTTCAAAGCTTTGCACCTGCATCAGCTTAATTGGACTCTGCTACACTCGAAATCACCGAGCTGAATTTTCTCATTTCAAATCATATTATCAATTAGGATTTTTTTTTTATTATTTTTTTTCAGCAATCAAGGGCTGGGAGTTGAAATCTCCTTACCTAGGCTGGTTTTCCTGGGAAATATTCTCCCCTCTCTGGTACCCGCTGTCAGCCACCTGAGTGGTGGAGCGCTTCACAATCTGCTTGAGCTCCTGTTCCAAGCGATCCTGGATGGCTTTCACTGTTTCTGGGATTTTCTTCAGCTTGGCCAGCCCCTTGATGAGGATTCCCATGAAGACAGCGCTGTTCTCCTCTGGATCCAGGTCTGTGTCCTCTTTGATTTCCAGAACGCTGGAGTCTCGCACTGGAAGAGATTTTAATCCCAGATTTTATCAGCTGAACCCAACAGCAGCACTTTGAAGAAGCAGCATGGGAGCTCCTCTGGCTTCACAGAACTGCCAGCACGTGGAGCAACCAAGCATGAACAAGGAAACCAGAAACACTTGGACTTTCTGTTTGCCTGGGGGCTTCCCTGGACATAATTACAACATTGGTTACAACACTGGATTGATTTAGGAACAATTCATAGTGTGAATTCCGTGTTAGGAAATAAGAGAACGACTGCTGCAATTAAGATATTCATAAATGAGAAAGTACAATATCCCTACAAATCCCCTGAATGTGTTTCAAGGAGCTGAAACCCCCTCAGTTTCCACCCCAGCTGGTTTTCCTTGCTATTTTCTTCACAAGAGAGGAATTTTCATTACAAACACTATCAAGCTTAAGAGACTGCTGATGAATTCAGCGAAGTTTACACTGCCGAAGTGACTGATTGTTTGATTTTATCTTTTTCTGCTTTATTACGTCTGTCAAGGGGTTGATGAAGTTCCTCAAATCTTCCAGCAAGGCTTCTAGAAGGGTAAAGTGAGAAGAATTAGAGAGGATATTGCAGATATGGTCCTGAAGTAACAGAGATTGCACAGGGAGAAATCCTGTTGCTAAGCGACAGGGGATGGGAAAGCAAGAGAGACTCTGCTTGTTTTAAGTAGGTTCATTAAGCAACATTTCTTAATTTACAGATAACACCCAGCAACAACAAAAGCGTGGCTCTGTTAAAGACTGGGTGAAACATTTAATAAATATATTTAAACACTTATGTGAAGTAAGTGTCTTCAAGGCAAAGTGAATTAAAAGCATCTTGGAAGATCTACACACTGTGCCATCCACCATGGCAGATCCTTGGATCAAAATTAAAACCCAAAGGCTGTTTCATCTGACTGGGGCTGAGCTCTGAAAAGGCTGCTGGGTGACAGATGACTCCCATGGTTTCAACTCCTCAACAGATTTTTTTTTTTTTTTTTACTGTGAAACTTTTCCAAGAAGCTGAAGAAATGTCAAAAGATCCAGCAGAAGGGTGGAAGGAACGTGTCAGGAGTGAGGAATGGCACAGGGAGGTGCCTGAAGCTGGGCTCTGACCAGAGGAGCAGCACCATGGCTAAGGTAGAGCAAGATCAAGCACACAACAGCCCAAGCATGGTGCCAATTTATAAATAATCTCAACAAATGGGTGCCAGTTCACACCAGCCTCAGGCTCAGTCAGTCAAGAAGCTGCTTTCTTCTTGCACTGCGATCCCAAACTCTGCACCTCTGGCTCACACCAAGCTCATGGCTCACACATTGGTCTCACATTTGAAGCCAGAGCAGCAGGTGAGGGTGAGGTGAGGATGGATCCTGCTCTGGAGCCAGGCTGGGAGAGCTGGGGGTGCTCCCCTGGAGAGGAGAAGGATGCAGGGAGAGCTTCCAGCACATTCCAGGCCCTGAAGGGGCTCCAGGAGAGCTGCAGAGGGACTGGGGACAAGGCCTGAGGGACAGGACACAGGGAATGGCTCCCACTGCCAGAGGGCAGCCATGGATGGGATCTTGGGAATGAGGAATTCCTGTCTGGGCTGGGATTGCCAGAGCAGCTGGGGCTGCCCCTGGACCCCTGGAATGTCCAAGGAAAGGTTGGACACTGGGGCTGGAGCAGCCTGGGACAGTGGGAGGTGTCCCTGCCATGGCAGGGGTGGCACTGGGTGACCTTTAAAAAGACCCTTCCAACTCCAAACTATTCCATGATCATCTGACAATGAACAATAGGAAGATCAAACAGTGCTTTTTTTCTCTCTCACACACACTTCTTTCAATTAAATATGAGCAAGTTACAGCACAAGCAACTAGAAACACCCAGAACGTATTAATTAAAAAAAAAAAAATCAAAAAAAAGCAGAGATAAAATAAAGACATTTCAAACACCAGTTGGAATTTAACAACTGGATGCAGAACTATTCCTGCTCAAAGCTCTGCTCCATCACAGACCTTTCACCCCATAGAGCTGCAGAGGACTTTGTGGCTGCAAGCCTGGTCTCTGCCCACTCTGTTATTGTTATTTGTTATTCTCCAAAACCCACAGCAAAACTCAGGCACAGACACAGAGAATGAGCTCTTTGGAACCAGAGCTGTGAAAAAACCACTGGAAATGCTACAGGAAGAAAGGTTTAGCCTATTCTTTTTTTAATAAAAGACCTCTAAATATCTTGTTTCTCTGAGTTCAGTGCAGATATTTCCCAGCCTCTCAGAGGACAGGTCCTGTCATGAGGCTGCAGCCCCTCTGTAAGCAGCTTCTAAATTATTCTTAATATCACACAATGAACACCCAAGAGGGAGGAAATGGAGCTGTAGCCAAATGTGAGGACAGCATTTAAGAGGAGTAAAAGCAGCAATCTTGCTGAGAACTCTGCCAGCACACTGAGACAAACTCTTCCATTTTCAAAAGAGCAAACCAATTTCCAGCATCCTCAAATAGTCAGGACATTGATTTACATCTCTCACTAACAAGAGCCAAGTGAGCAATTCGATATCTGGGAGCTGCCCATGGGTCTGGAGGCTCTGTCAGATCTGGCTGTTTGATAAAACAGTGAGAACCTGTTTTCAGTGTGTTCCCTGCACACTGTCCCTATTAAACAGGAGCCCTGGGTAGGTCTGGGGGCCCATTTATCTGTGAGATCTGACAAGATCCCAACCCTGGGTAACTGTCCTGTCCTTTTCTCCTGTCTCTCACACTTCAAACTACTCTCCTGCCATTTAATGTCATCAAGGGGCTGTTTGACCACAAAGCTTTGGCCCAGGAACAAGCTCCTCCTGTTGCCTTCCTCTTCCAGAAAAGCATCAAAGGACTCAGGCATTTATTAAGGAGTTCAGCTGGAAAATTGCAGCCCGAAGTGCTGCTCCTTGGGGGCAGAGCTGTCCTTGGAGATCAGCTCTCAGAAGGGACAGCTTTATTTACTCCTAAACTGGGAACATGACTAACTTTGTTATTCTTTGGGCTCGAGAAGTTATTCCTAGCTTTGATTCTTGGAAGTAAGTAGGGGGAGAGCAGATCTGCCACCTTGGACTGTCAGAGGGCAGACTGGGCCTGTCCAGGAGCCTGGCTGAGACTCCCTTGGGAGGTTTTCCTGCAGGGCAGAGGAGTCCAGGAAGGCTGGACTTCCTGCAGGAAGGAAATCCTAAAGGCACAGGAGCAGGCTGTCCCAATAAATCAAGGCAGGAAAAAGACCAGCCTGGCTGGACAGAGAGCATTGACTGGAATTTAGAGGAAAAGGAGAATTCCTAACCTTTGGAAGAGCAGAAGGCAGCCAGGAGGAATAGAAGGATGTTGTGAGGTTATGAAAGGAGAAAATAAGAAGGGCCAATGTCCAGCTAGAACTTAACCTGGTTATTGCTGTAAAGGACAATAAAAATAGTCCTATAAATACATCAGCAGGGAGAATCTCCATCCTTTGCTGGATGTGGTGGAAAGATGAGGTTTCAAATGCCTTCTCTGTTTCAGTCTTTAACAGCAAAACCCTGTTCTCAGTGCAGCCAGGGGAATGCAGGGATGGGGAGCAGAACAAACTCCCAGAATGCAAGAGAAATGGTCAGTCCACACCACCTGAACACTCACAGATTGCTTGGGCAAATGGGATCCACCCAAAGGCTCTGCAGAGCTTTTCAAGCCTCCATGTCCTGGGTTGTAAGAGAAGTGTGTATTTTATTCCCATCTGTCAGAGGTGGGGCAGTTCTCTGCTGCTCATGGGGCAGTTTTTTCTTTATCTCTCCCACAGCCCATCCTCCCTCCAGGAGATCTCTTCTGTCCATGGCCACTGAGTGTCCCTGCATGGCTGAGAAAATTCCATCATCCATGGGGAGATGCTCTGCCCAGGGGAGGAGCCAAACATTCCTACCTGGATACAATCTGACCTGGGAACCCACAGCAGTCTTTGCCCACTGCATTCCCAGAGGAGCAGCTTTCTTCCCACTGCATTCCCAGAGGAGCAGCTTTCTTCCCCACTGCATTCCCAGAGGAGCAGCTTTATTCCCACTGCATTCCCAGAGGAGCAGCTTTCTTCCCACTGCATTCCCAGAGGAGCAGCTTTCTTCCCACTGCATTCCCAGAGGAGCAGCTTTCTTCCCCCTGCATTCCCAGAGGAGCCCAGGCCCATCTCCCCCAGCCCTGGAGCTCCAGAGGAAAACTCCCCCCTTGTGCAGGATCCTGCTCCAGCAGAAGCACAGCTGGCACTGCAGGAGGGCTGAGCCACCATGGGATGGGACTGCTGCTACCTCCCTGACACACAGGGGCTCAGGGCATTGCTGACTCTGGCAATGGGATCTGACTCTTTTTTGTACTAATTAATTTTTACATATTATTTTTAATACATATTTTAAATTTTTTCCTAATATAGAACTTTTATTCCTACTCCCATATCTTTGCCTGAGAACCCCTTAATTTCAAAATTATAACAATTCAGAGGGAGGGGGTTTACATTTTCCATTTCAGGGGAGGCTCCTGCCTTCCTCAGCAGACACCTGTCTGTTCAAACCAAGACATCTCCCACCCAACCCAGTGTCCCTGCTGGGTGTGCCCTGGATTCCCTCACCAGGTCACTGATGAAGGTTAAACATCTTTCTCCAGGAGAATTTTCTGGGAAACAAAGGCTTGACCAAAGTCTAGCTAGATCTGACACATTCCCCAGCCTTTCCCTCATCCTCCAAGGGGGTCACTTTGTCCACAGAAGATGAGGCTGGCCAAGCAGGACCTGCCTTTCCTGAACCTACTCTGACTGGGCTGATGCTCTTATCAAAATCTGCAAACTTTCTGTGAAGCAGAACATTTAAATACATTCTATCAAAAGCCTTCTAAGACAACACCTTGAAGGAATGATGATTTTTCCACACTCTCTAATAAAATTGCAGCCATTTTCACAAATTTCTCCTCTCCATTTTTCACCTGAAAATGCTCAACTCTGTGTTCAAGCAGGCAAAAGTTGAGCTGTGGGTTAAAACCCTAAATGCTGAACCATGTGTAACCCCTAGAGTTACAGAGGAGGGAGTTTCCTGATCCCTGCTCTGATCATGCCCTACAAAAACCTCTGTTCCAACTGGAATTCATTTGCTCAGTGCTGCCATTTCCCAAGGAACCAACCTGCTGCAAGGAGCTTTTTAACAGCTCCTTTCTGATCCCTAAAAACCCAACTTCGGGAACTCATTTAAGCAAAGCAGCTGAAAAAAAGGCTCTTGGGTCTTGTGTTTCATTCCAGTGAACAGTCAAAATTTGCTGCTCCTCATTATGAAGGTCTCATTATCCACAGGCTTTTATGGGAGTCTTGTAAAATGGAATGTACTATTTTCTATGATTTATGTCCTTCTGGTGATATCCTTTGTACCTTCAATCCTTCCAGAGAAAAGCACACGAGTTCCTGGTGGCCCAAAGGCATAATTTCAGATTTGAAGGAACATCACCTGCTAATTCCTGGTGCTGAATCCTTGTTCTGACACATCCGTGGAGCTACAAATGGGCAGTTCCTGCAGAAATGGGTCCTTGGAAGATTATGGGAATTTTCTGCTCTGCATCACTACAAAACCCAGAAGAAAACCCACTTCAAAATCCTCCTAATCTATACAAGCATCAGAATTAAGTCTCCAAATAAAAAAAATAAGTGGAGTGTATCCAGTTATTTGATGTTGGGACCAAACACAGGAACAACTCATGAAATTACAAAGAATTAAGTATTTAATAATTTAATAATAAATTACACAAAGTAACACCAATTATGTGTTACTTTCCTGGCTTTCACCACATGGGACTAAAATCTCCTTGATTTTCCCATTTCATTCCTCAAACACATTCCCAGATCATTCCATTTTAAGAAAAAATGATAAAGACAATCTACCCAGGCCATAGGAAGTGAAGAAATCTTTGAAGATTTATTGAGCGTGTTTGGAGCAGAGGCATCTGTGACGATGAACTGGCACAATGGCATTTTTTAGATTCACCTTGAAAATTGGATATTCCAAGCAGGTTTGGAGGTCTCCACGTGTTGTCACAAAAGTCTCTGGTTCTTGAAGAAAAAGAACCAGCAGCATTTCCTAGACCTGACCTTAGAACCACCACACTGCCTGGTCTTCTTTTTGCTCCAAAGAACCATTGAAATAAATTAGCAATTCAGCATAAAATCTACATATCCCACCCATAGCAGTATTTATTGGCACCACCAGCTCATCTTCTGCTGGATTTCTAAGAAGCATTGTCCCAAATTTCCCAGGAAAAGGCACTCCTGGGTTTGCGAGCACATTTTAGAGTTCCAGGAAGAGCCTGGCAAAGCAAGAACCTTCCTAAATACCCTTCAGAGTACAGAAAGTTCAAGCAGAGAAATATAAATTTATTCCTCTGAACTGGCATGAAGAGAAAGTGTTACTGGTGAACTGCCACAACTCCAATCCTCAGGTGAGCATTTCCAAAGGATTTGTTTATTTTACGTGCAGCAGGAACAGCTTTAATTTCCTTATAAAGATTCTACAGCACAAGGTAACATCTCCTCTGGGAAGGGAGTGCAGGAAGGACTCCAAATTTTGGCATTTTTGCTGGGATGGGATGAATGAGTCAGTGCTTTAGAGTGACACCCATTAATATGCACAGACACTGTTTCATCAATAAAAAGCCAAAGAACTTAAGTGACTACAGGCAGAAACAGCTTTTGTTATGCATAGGCATAAGTTTGAAATTCTCTGCTAGTTGCGCAGTCCTGGAAAAGGCTACTTTTAAATAAAATTACAAGGGGAAAAAAATCTACGTAAGTACATTGTGCACTTGAAGCAGAACCATCTGCATATTTTATGCCCATGAAATGTTTTCTGGTAGAATCCTCATCTTTGCCAGGCTGAGAGACACTTGCCCAGCACTTCACTGAGTGATGCAGAGCACGAGGAGGAGCCAAGGAAAAGATTTGCTGGTGCATTGGGTGAGAAGAGCAAGAAGAGATCTGCTAAAAAAAAAGATCAAGAGGGACATCTCCTACTCCGTTCCCCAGCTGTGAGGTGGGAGATCCCCATCAGCTCCACAACTTCAGATCTTTTGGGCTTTATTACTATACAGAAGAGCAATATTTTATGGGGAGAAAGCAGCAGACACTATAAATTTCACTGAAAAATTAGTATTTTAACATTTAGAGGGGTTGGAACTAGATGGCCTATCAGGTTCCTTCCAATCCAAACCATTTTATTTCCAGTGGTGGGGCTGGGATTCAGGTTTTTGTGGTTTATTTCCTCAGTTCCTCAAAATCCTGAGAGAAAACTGAAATGAACTTCCCACTAATCACACAGCAGAACACAAATTCTTAAGTTTTTCCCTCAGAATTTTCATATGGTTCTTCTCTTCCAGATTTTTAGTGACCAGGCTGCAGTTTCCAGCTCTGGAAGTTTGTGACTCCTCACAAACCTCCAGGACACAGAAAAACAGCCCCAGGCTCCAAGACCAGCCTGGCAGGAGCAGAGCTGAAGAACAAAACCTCTCCAGGAGCAGAAGATAAGAGAAATCAAATGCAACAATCTGGGAGGCAAGTGTTACAAAACTAGAAACAAAAGGACAAAAGAATTAATAAGGTTGAAAAGAGAAAAAAATATTCTCTGCATTTGAGGAATACTGAAACAGTCAGGTTTGAAAGGGGGAACAGACTGGAGGTCACTTCTGTATTATTCATCAAGGACAACCCCATTTATTAATCTTCTGAAACAATACAAAGATTAATTTCCCCTCTCTGCAGCCCTTCCAAAGCCCCAGTGAAAGAGTTTTCCTCGGTGTTTGTTGCAGTAACAGGAATAAAAGATCAGCCACAGATTATTCCTGTGTACAGCCAAACCTTTAGTCAAAGTTACAAAGCTCCCACAAGAAACAGATTTGACCTTTTGGCTCCCACACAATAAAAAACTTCAGTAATATCTACACAAACCTGGCTGCCTGCAGTAAATAATGCTGAGGAAACCACACAGAATGAACCCACTGCAAATCTCTGCTGCTCAAAATATCAAGAACACGATCAAGGTGAGAAAAGGCACAGGAAACTGAGTGTATTTAACTGAAGCTGGTGGGGGTTAGGAGAGGGAAAAGATGATTTTCCATGAGGAAAAAAAGCCAAGTTTACCCCTGGACACAGCACCCACTCGCTCTGTGACACTGCAAAAATCACCTGCCAGGTTTTTGTCTCCCCTGAGCCATGAGGGGATTACTTGCCTCCTCCTACTCCAGCAAAATCAACTGAATTATCTACAGATTAATATATACAGCCTAAATACTCACTGCTGGAGCTTCCAGGAGTACTGAATTGGGAAGTCTCAAGGAATTTCCGAGGTGTAGATAAATTAGTGACATCCATCAGAGGCACAGGAGAGGCGTCTTTCACAAGGGACCTGCGTGAGGGAAAAGAATTCAAGCAAACAGATTATTATTTACAATATTTATTCACAACAAATAATCCACTTACTCCTTACATTTTAAGCCTAAGAAACAGCTTAAGATTAATACATATTCCCATTTCCATGCCTTCTGTCAACTTTTTAATCCTCTAAACTTCTTTATTCCCACCAGAAACCTCCACCCTTTTTTCCTGTCCTTCAGATTCCTGTTTTGAGCCCACCCATGTACATCACTTCCCAAATGAACCTCCTTACCCAAAAATTAAAACATTTTTAAAATTCACATTGTATTAGTTCCCAAAAATGTGTCACACTGCTTCAGCTGCTGGATGTGGCAGGGGGACACAAGCAAGAAATCATTTTTAGGGGAAAGAAATGTGGAAGGCTCCTACAGTGGAGCTCAGGATGTTTGCTTAGAGGTCAAAATGCTCATGGAAATGTGTAAAAACAAGGGTTAGGCTTGGTATCCTGCAGAAGAAGCACCCAAAGCAAAAAGCCACCCTTGCTGCAAGAGTTCCTGTTATCAAATATCCACAATGGGCATCGGGGGAAGTGAAAAAAGAGAATCTAGAGTGAGATTAAGCCACAAAAGTGCAGTTAATTAGCAGTCCCCCTTTGGGTAGACCAAAGCTTTGTGGCTGTTTTAAATTAAAATGATGAGTAAGGAAGAGACTGATGATTTGCTAGCAACCCTCCTTCCTAGAAATTTCTATTTCAAACAATCCTTTGCTCCACAAATTAATTTAATGCAACTGGTCATCTTGGATTTATACTTTTCTTATACTTTTGGCAAGTAGATTTTTATTCATTCTCACAATAAAATGCTCATTTATCTGTTCTCTGCATCTCTATCAAGTGCTGGCTCACCTTTTGCTCCCCACCTCTCCTACTCTGCACAAATTACCTCCCAGCATTGTCTCTCTCTTTTGCAGCCGCTTTCTTCCTTCCCTGCAGCAACTCAGAATTAGCAAAATCAGGAAAAAATAGCCTGTATTAACTAAATTTCCACTGACCACAGGCACCAACCAGGTAAAAATTTTCAACACCTTTGAAACACCTTGGAAACACATCAAAACCAACACATTTCAGCTCAGACACTTCAATATTGTAGCCTCCATCTCATCACCTTATGGTTGGGTGGGAGGCTTTGAAAACTTGGATATTTCCTAGAAAATGAGCAGCCTTTTCCTGACCTGAGCCTCATGACCATGACATTTGTAGGAGGGGGATAAAACCAGGGAAGGGAGGGAATGCACAAAGGAGCTGTGGGATGCAGCAAAACCCCAAAAGAAGCACTGAGAAAAGTAAAAGAACAAGAATGGGCTCGGAGGTGCATCAACACATCTGAATTTTCTGCTCTCCACAGCCACAATGTTGAGAGATTTGCATGTGTCTTAGCTTGGAAATCGGGGTGTGTGTTCAATTCCCATCTGTCAGAGGTGGGGCAGTTCTCTGCTGTTCAGGGGGCAGTTTTTTTCTTTATCTCTCCCACAGCCCATCCTCCCTCCAGGAGATCTCTGCTGTCCATGGCCACTGAGTGTCCCTGCATGGCTGAGAAAATTCCATCATCCATGGGGAGATGCTGTGCCCAGGGGAGGAGCCAAACATTCCTACCTGGATACAATCTGACCTGGGAACCCCACAGCAGCCTTTGCCCACTGCATTCCCAGAGGAGCAGCTTTCTTCCCACTGCATTCCCAGAGGAGCAGCTTTCTTCCCGCTGCATTCCCAGAGGAGCAGCTTTCTTCCCCACTGCATTCCCAGAGGAGCCCAGGCCCATCTCCCCCAGCCCTGGAGCTCCAGAGGAAAACTCCCCCCTTGTCCAGGCCCTGCTCCAGCAGAAGCACAGCTGGCACTGCAGGAGGGCTGAGCCACCATGGGATAGGGCTGCTGCCACCTCCCTGACCCACAGGGGCTCAGGGCATTGCTGACTCTGGCAGTGGGTTGTTTTCTTTTTTGTATTTTTAATTTTCCCAGTAAAGAACTGTAATTTCTATTCCCGTATCTTTTCCTGAGAACCCCTTAATTTCAAAATTATAATAATTCGGAGAGAGCGGGTTTGCATTTTCCATTTTAAGGGAAACTCCTGCCTTCCTTAGCAGACACCTGTCTGTTCAAAGCAAGGCAGCAGGGCAGAAATGCAGGTTTGGGGTGGCAGCTGTGAGGCAGGGCACGGGGAAGGCTGTCCCACCCGAGGCGGGCTCTGTCCCTGCCGCGCTGCCCCACGCGGTTGGTGGATTTGATGTAGAGGTGCCGGTGCAGTTCGTCGATCAGCACCAGGTGCAGGTTCATCTTCTTGCTGTGCAGCTCCAGCCTCAGGTCGCTCAGCCCCTCCACCTGCAGGAGGGGACCCTCCAGGGAATCCACTGCTGACACCTGGGGGGAAAACAGGGGACAGTTTTTAGCCACCCATCCATTCCATCATTTCCGCCATTTTGCAATTTTCCTCTTGGATTGTTTGAATCTCAGGATGATTCTGTCCTTAAAACACTTCTAAAGCAGAGAATCTTGAAGTAATATTTCTTTATTTCTGTTCCCAAATAAATTATATAGAAGGGTTCCATTGTAATGGAGGTGAACCCAATGGGAAGAAATGATGATGTCTGACTCAATTCAGACGGCTGAATTTGTTCTTTATTATAACTATACTATAATACATTAATATACTATATAAAAAGAGAATACTAAAACTACATACTACTTTCTCTGACTCCATCCCTAAGTCTCTCACAACTCGTGACCCTCTCTGAGAGTCCAGCCCCAGGGGGGTTGGATTGGCCATCAGGCTCAAACAATCCTCACCAGAATCTAACCAAGCAATCACCCCAGGGAAACAATTCCCCAAACACATTCCACATGGGAAAAACAAGGAGCAGAAATAGAAATTTTTTTCTCTTTCTTCCCTCTGTGCTCCCCTATGAAAAATCCTTAGAGGGAGAGAAATGTTCTTGCCACAGGTTCCAACATCCAAATAATTCAGATTTAATGTGCAGCCTTCAAATATAAAGCGTATGTATAAAACAAGTTAGTGAAAGCACAGTTCTTAAATAAAAATCAAAGCATGGTTTATCCCCAAATAAGAGGATTATTAAGTAGAAAATTGTTAGAAGAAGATAGTGACAAATAGTGTTTGATGGTTGCTATTCTTTCCATTACAGAAAAACAAAAAAAACCCCATTATTCCAAATTCTGCAAATGGGGAGGAAATGGCTTACATTTAATTTGTTTAAACTCATGACTGAAAGAGCTTAGGAGGTCTCATCCTTTAGGCTGCACAAGGGTTATATCCTGTGGCTACACCATTTGAATATCTGAAATAATGATCAGCTGACATCCTATGGGCACTTAAATTTCCTAATTTTCTTTTCTATCCTAAAAATAATTGTGGACAAAACCCAAACACAGACAAAATCCAGCAGGAATGACAGATCAGTGCCTAAAATCAACACTCTCACTGTGCATCCCTCCCAGTTGGTTTTCTATTTAACAGATATTTCCAGTTACCAATAAATAAATGATGGCATCCCTCTGCAGCTTCCAAACTCTCAGTGCTGATGTTGTAAGAAACTGGAAAGAGCATGTTTGGCATGCAGAGGTTTAAAATAAAATTAAAAAACCCATTCCCTGCTAACTGAGGATGCTGTCAGTGAAATAAGACATTTGCTTGCACTTCAGGATCTCGGTTCAGAACAAACCTGTCAGCCAAACATTAAAAATTAAAAGCAAAGATACAGTGAGCAGCCAGCCCAGCCAAGGGCTGCTCCCTCAGCACCAGTAAATATTAACTCTACTGAAAGAACATCCATCACCAGAGTATTCCTTTGCTGGCCTCCAAGCCCAGGAAAAACTTGGAATATCCATGGGACAGCCAAGCTTTTTATATTAATTTTTAAATCTCTTCACTTGCCACACTACACTGTCCATCTTCTTCCTTCCCAGTATCCATCTGGGAACATCACACATCACAAAACCATCCCAAAAATGAAGGAAAAACCCGATTTCCTGCTCCCCAGAGGAGGTGGCAGATCTCACTCAAGAGGAGGAGCTCAGCAGGCACCACATGGGAAACTCTGGATGAAGTGGAAATGTTAATTACTCTCGTCTTGCTTTGGTAGGTGGAGCTTTTTTCTCCAAATTTCCCCATTCCAAAGGCATTCCCCTGAAAGAATATGAAGCACCAGATGTTCTGATCACCTAGTATTCCTGTGCTGGCCTCCAAGGCCAGGAAAAACTTGGAATATCCATGGGACAGCTAAGATTTTTATATTCATTTTTAAATCTCCTCACTTGCCACACTACATTGTCCTTCCTCTTTCTTTCCCAGTATCCATCTGGGAACATCACACATCACAAAACCACCCCAAAGATGAAGGAAAAACCCAATTTCCATCTTCTTCCTTCCCAGTATCCACCTGGGAACATCATACACCATAAAAACACCCAAAAGATGAAGGAAAAACCTGATTTCCCCATCCCAAAGGTACTTTCTCCTTTGGCAGGTGGAGCTTTTTTCCCCAAATTTCCCCATCCTAAAGGCACTTGGGATCCCCCCCAGTTGCTTCAGGGTAGGTGCAACTACCCTGGGAGCTGGGCCAAAAATCCCACCAGAAAAAGGAGCAGGAGAAACTTTTGTCATATTGAGAAACTGAGAGATGAAAAAGCCACCAGAAGAAAAGTGAAAAGTGACAGAAAAAAAAAATAATTCCAAGAAGTCCAGGAAAAGTTTTCTCTGCAATGCAAAGAATGGGAATTTAAACTTCCAACTCAGCTCTGGTTTTGTCTTGCCAGTTCCTAAAAAGTTCATTGCTTACCAAAAATATTAAGGCCAAAATACAGCTCTCAAGGACATCTTTTAAATAAAAAAACTTGAATATTCAACCATTTATTACACTCATGTTCAAGGTAGGAAAAGGAAGGTCTCCAGTTAGTTTAGATGGCAATAGAAATATTATGCTAAAAACCAAACCAAACATTTTTTTCCTTTCTGCAGTTTTGGTTACAGAAAGATGATTTAGGTCCTGGCAACAAAGCAGCACCCAAGATTATATTCCAGAATAAAATAATATGTGATTAAAACCTTTGTGTGCTGGATAGATCAGCCCAGAACAGCATAAACAACCAAAAGGAAACAAAAACATCAATAAAAAAATGCACAAAATTTAATATACACTAAAGGCAGATCAACAGTGGAACTTTAGAAGGAACTTTTTTGACTCTATGCCCCCACTCAGCTCCTAACACACCAAAACTTGGATTATAAATGAGATGCCAATCAGCTTTCACTGGTTTTTAACCCATCAGCTGCTGGCTGCATCCAGAAGCACTAAAAGATGTGGAATTGGATAGAGAAAGGAAGAATTATCCTGCAAGACTCCAGTTAATACTGATAAGGGAAAAGCAGCCCAAGAAAACCTGGAAGTGAGATGTATAGAAGGACTCCAAGTGGTTCAAGGCTGCAGAAAAAGTAGCTGATGGTCCTTGCTGGGCCTTTTTTTCTACACACACAGCTCAGTTAAATGGAAATAAAATGATTTTTGTTTGTTTTTCTGCAGGGGGATCATGGCATTGTGCTAGACTAGCTGAGCACAAAAGATAATTGCAGGTAAAAGAGCTCCCCCACATTAATCTTTTGGCAGGAGCTGGGGTGCAGAGAGGAGCCACAGCCACACAGAGCAGCTGGAAAAGGAAACAACAATAAACAATTTGTTATTCTTATGGAAAAAAACTGCTTTACAATGAGCAAATTGTACCAAAAGAATGGGAAGTCCCCACCAGCACCTCTTTTAATTCTCGAATTCAGCTCTCTCTCCCACTGAAAGCTGCTCATGAACACACAATAAATGTAATTTCGTAAAACACTAATTAAAATATTGGCCTGGATTAGCACAGAATTTGGCTTAGATGATCTGATAGCAATTCCTGATGTTCAAATCTTCTTATCTCTCTCTACTTATTAGTACCTACAAATCAGCAAAGACCCTTTAGGAAATAGAGATGAAATAAGCCTGGAAAAAGAGCTGTGCTTTGTATAAGCTAAAAATTGCAAGTTTATAGAAAATAACCGTGGCACCAGCACCATTAGGCAGCTTGTTTAAAGGTCACAGGCAGTTTATAGCAGGGCTTAATTGCCTTAAAAAGAAAACACAGCTAAACACTTGCTTAGTGTAAGAGGAAATTTGGAAGGGTTTAATTCAGCATTTTACAACAAATGAGAACCTAAGTGTTAACAAGGTATTTGTCAAATTTCTTTCTTTCCTGACTTCAGGCAAAGTTTCCCAATCTGCTTACAGTGAAATCTATTTATTCCCTCAAAAGGCTTTGCTGAACCCCCACAGTCCTGGAATTGAGCAGAGATCAAGGAAAAAGTCTCAATTTTTTTTTTTCAGAGAGGGGGAAAAAACCCAAAATAATGATAGAATCATAAAATCTTGGAATCATTAAACGGTTTGGGTTAGAAGGGACATTAAAGATCACCCAGTCCCCATGGGCAGGGACACTTTCCACCATCCCAGAGGGTGCTCCAAGCTCCATCCAACCTGATCTTAGATACTTCCAGGGATCAGGAATCCACAGCTTCCCTGGGCAAGCTGTGCCAGGGCCTCCCCACCCTCACAAGGAAGAATTCCTTCCTCAATTATTAATTATTTAACTAGAAAACCAAAGCCTTTCTGTCTGGGAAACCAATCTGTTCTGAATTTGGAAAATAGATATGAAAACATAAACACAACTGAGAAAGGTTTAGAGAAAACAACGTGGTGGGTCATAACTCCAGATTTAAAAAAAAAAAGCCATACACAAACACAATCTGACAAAAGGGAAAAAGCTGAGCCCTCGGAATAAAAGAGTAAATAAATAAGCAACAACCCAGAAGGTTCCAGCTGCCTCGGTGGTGAATACAACAATGCTGACATTTAAAAGGAGAATTGATCTGCTGCTTTTACAAGGGACTCACTTTCATGAGGTACAGGAAAGGAAAATTACTAAAAACCAGCTTAAATAAGTGTAGGCAGATCTAAACAACCAGGTCACTGAATTCCATTTGCCGGAGATAAGGACTGAGCCTGGAAACTGCTGCAGAATGGGAAAGTTCTCACACTGCAGCTTTTGGGATTTGGCAGCAGGCAGAGACACAACCCCACAAATGCTGATCCCTCTCTTCCCAGGAATAGAATTCCCAGAGCAGCCCCTGTGTCGGAACTCAAAATGTCCCTCAGACATTTTTGGAGGTTCAAGGCCCAGGTCAGAAGCATTTGAGACCCTGGCAGGCAGCTGGAAACAGCTGTGATTTAGGGTTTGAACCATGGAATGATTTACCAACCTTGCAGGAAGAACAAGAACTCACAAAATTTAGATATTATAGTAGAAGTAGTCACAAA